TGCTGATAAGAATGACAAAGAAATCTGGATAGAGGATGTGGCAGTATCTGGAAACAGCAATACGGAAAAGAAAGAATTGGAGGAAATCACAAAATACAAAGACTTGCAAATAGAAGAAGAATGACTGGGATGAAAGATAGCAAAGATAATATCAATAGTAATAGTCTCCTTGGGTGAAGGCCCCAAATAGCTGGAACACTACTTGAACATCATTGGTATTATAAAATCACCATCAGTCAATTACAAATGGTAGCTTTACTTGGGACAGCTTAAATCCTGCAAGGATACCTTTTACACCATCAAACAACATCTGCTTATCACAGGTCATTGGAAATGATTCAATAGGTGGGAAAAAGAGTCTGTAGTATAGTGGACTAAGCACTGTTATTAACATCTGCTGCTTGCAATTACTGCAAGTTCAAATCTCACCAGGCTCAAGGTTGACTCAGCCTTCCATCCTTTCAAAGGTAGGTGAAATGAGGACCCAGATTGTGTGGGCAATAAGATGACTTTGTATAAATATACAAAAGTATGAAGGCTATTGCTTAACGCATTGTAAGCTGCCCTGAGTCTCCGGAGAAAGGCGGCATATAAATTAAAACAAAAAACAAACAAACAAACAAACAGCCAAATCCTATCTAAACATTTGGCTGACTGTGTAAGCATTCCTAATAATTTTTATTTCTATTCCACTCACAGCTTGAGGGTCTTAGAGCAAATTAAAAAAACAAGGAGGCATTTTGCTGAAATTCTCATTAAGTTTAATTTTAGTTACTCATAGAAACTATCCAGGTACCAGTTCAGACCAAGGAAATACTGATTTTTCTTTTCAATTGTTTCACTACTAATCCATCATCGTCACATCAAACCTGCCTATTTTACTGTGGTAAATCATCATATAGCATAGTCATTTTTCCTTGGGGCAGCCTTGGCAATATGCAATTTAGTTTGATTGATGGCAAAGGCAGAGCTTAATTTCAGTTATTATAAATTATTTTTTTGCAGCATAGAAAGAGCCATAATTCCTGCATTTTTCCTATTGATTTCTAAACACAGTTCATTTGTTCATTCCATTGTATCTTCCTCTGTTCTTTCTACATTTTAATTTTTGCATATACACACCTGCGAAAACTTAAGAAGATATATATATATGAGTCCTTCGGGAGTAGGGCGGTATACAAATATGATAAATAAATAAATAAATAAATAAATAAATAAATAAATAAATAATTGATTCCTTCCCCCCAATTAAATACTTTGTTCGCATTAGACCAGTAGATCATCAAATAAATCAATCCAGAATTCTCATTCCAGATACAAATGACCTGGCTCAAATTATTCTACTTTGGACATAGTATGCAAAGACTTTAAACTTTGGAAAAGACTACTGCTGATAAAGTTGGAAAGATCATGTAACAAAGTAGATAGATTCAATTACAGCTGTAATGGGTGCACTGTTGGAAGTTCTGAAAGACCAGATTATTGACAGATAATAATAAGAGAAAATCTATTTATGTGGTTGCTCAGAGTGTACACCAACATAACTATGCCACATAATTAACCAAAACCTGTCTCTATATACATATATATTTATCTATGTTTTATTCTTCTATCATTTAAAAGCCAGGAAATTTGTAAGAGATTTGCTTTATTTTCTTATTTTACTTTGTTTATATAGATATAAAAAACAAGCTCCCCTTTTCATTGGCCTCTGCTGGCTCCCACTGCTTTATATCAATTTGATGTAATGGAATGTATGAGTGATCTTTGGGAAAAAGGGGAACAGAGGCTGCCTAGCAAACAATCAATCAGATAAGTGAAGTCGGGCCTGCAGTCACTTAATAGTCAGAAAAACAAACTTTTGGAGAATATATCGTAATGGGTCAAACAGTTAAAAGTGGAGGCAAGAAGTTTGTGCCTTCAGATTTGCAATATTCAGTCAATTGCAAAATGTAGCCTTACATTAAAGTAGAATTAGTTCATCTTGCTATATTGCTTCTCAGATAAAAGCAGCATTACACTGCAAACTGCATCCCTTTGGAAGGTGCATATGATATTGCAGCGCACATGGAGAGAAAGGTGGGTTTGCAGTGAACGTTGCAACACTTCTGACATCGCTGTGAACCCCTATTGTCAAGTGAGGTACTAATACCACTCTATAAAGCTTTAGTAAGACCACACCTAGAATACTGCATACAGTTTTGGTCATCACACTATTAAAAAAATGTTGAGACTCTAGAAAAAGTGCAGAGAAGAGCAATGAGGATGATTAGGGGACTGGAGGCTAAAACATATGAAGAACGGTTACAGGAACTGGACATGGCTAGTCTAGTGAAGAGAAGGACTGGGAGACATGATAGGAGTCTTCCAATTTTTGAGGGGCTGCCATAGAGAGGAAGGTATCAAGCTATTTTCCAAGGCACCTGAAGGCCAGACAAGGAATAATGGATGGAAACTGATCAAGGAGAGATTCAACCTGGAAATAAGGAGAAATTTTCTGACAGTGAGAACAATCAACCAATGGAACAGCTTGCCTTCAAAAGTTGTGGGAGTTTCATCATTGGATGCTTTCAAGAAGAGATTGGACTGCCATTTGTCAGAAATGGTGTAAGGTCTCCTGCTTGAGCAGGGGGTTGGACTAGATGACCTATAAGGTCCTTTCCAACTCTGTTAATCTGTTAATCCAACTCTGTTAATCTGTCTCCCTTGGAGGCCACTGGCGTTTTGCTTCTGACATTCCAGTTGCCAGGCTCTCAGTTCCTTGCACGCACACACATTCTTTTTATCTAAAGAAAGTAATGCTATAAATCATTTTTGCATTCATTCAGCCCTTCCTTGAGTACCAGTGGAATAAAAGGTTTTAACGTGTTCATATCTCAACTCCACTTCAAGATTTCTTTCCTATGTGACCTTCTTGAAAATATCCCAATCTGTTTAGAAATGATTAGTTGCATTCCATATGGAGAGTGGAACAATGGATCAAATGCAGCGAAGCATATTTCATTGATATATTTATTGCAAGGCCATCTATGTTGGGGTCAAAAAGTCAAGATGGTGGCTGTGAGTTTGAAAATGAAGGAACCCCCCCCCCTCTTTTTTAACCAACCTTTTTTTAAGCTGGTATCCTCCAAATGTGCTACACTAGAAATCCTTGTTTGTAGTTCCATGCAAAGAGGAGCAATGAGAGACCCAAGTCATGAGCATCCCATATCACAGAGAGATGGACCTATCCCTCCTGCAACGCCAATTGGAACCAGCCATGGGGAAAAAAGGAGAACCCACAAAACAATGCCTCCAGTCCAGAAGATCCCATGGTAGATGGTCTTGAAAGCTGCCAAGAAATCTAGACGAGCTAAGACAGTTGCACTGTTTCTGTCCAGGGCCACTAGAGATTATCCATAAATGCCATCAGTGCCATCTCAGTAGTATACTCCAGCATGAACCCAGACTGAAAAGGTTCAGATAAGGATTAAAGAAGCCTAAAGTAAGCATATATGATTGGTCCAATGATTTGGCTCAAACCAGCAAAGATAAAGAGGCACAGCATTTTAACAATGGTTACTACAGGGTGTTTTTTTTCCCCCTGTTTCATTTCATTATTGGTAGATAATTAGTGAATTCTGTGCTGGAACCTGTGTCAGTTTTGTTTCTTTTCCATACTATACTTAAGGTGGGCTGCCTGTCTTTTTTTTTTTTTTTTTAAATAGAGTAATGTGCCTTTAGTTATCTGGAAACAGAAGCTGTAGCTGGCATTCTTGCAGATATTAGCTAATTGGCACATCCAGCTGTTTTACCATAGAATCAATCCTAGTAAAAACCTGGGGCATATTTTTCAAGACTAGGCACTGAATAAAAGAAAAATATAACTGTACTGAAAAACTCTGTTATTATTATTGCCGTTACCATTTTTTAACAAAAGGATTTATGTGCAAAAGAGGATTTGTATGTATTCACTGTACTGAAAACATTCACCGCTTTATATCTGCTTGCTTTCACTCAAATGCATTCCGGAAGTTCTCTAACAAAATATTAGTAAAAGCCTCCAAGAAGAAGCTTGCTTCTGTTTGTTTTAAGCCTGGGGATCCAGGAAATGTTCCACAACACTGGATTCAGCACAAACAAGAAACCGCCTTGTGTTTAATATCATTATCCTGGACAGAGAGAAAGAAGCAGAGGGGTTTTTTTAAGCTGTTCTTAATAGAAAGAAGAGTGGATTTGAGAAGAAATACTGGTCGTCTTATGAAATGTAGGATGCTACTTAATAGTAAGTGAAATCATTACAACAGACCCAAAATGACCAACGGCTCCCCAAATGAGTCCATTTTTGCTCCTTTATCATAAATCTTTTACTATAGATGTTTCAGATTGTTCTTTTGCCCCACATGTACAATATTTGCACTCTTCTAAGAGTTGTATGTTCTCCCAGGTATCTTTATCTGCATAACAGTTTTCAGCAGAGAAAAACGGCCTTCCCTTAGACCAGAAATGAAGGAATTGGTCCAGGGATGAAATCCAGCAGGTGCTGACAGGTTCTGGAGAACTGGTAGTGGAAATTTTAAGTAGTTTGTAGAACCGGTAGTGGAAATTTTGAGTAGTTCAGAGAACCGGCAAATGCCACCTCTGGCTGGCCCCAGAGTGGGGTGCGACTGGAGGTTTTGCAATATTCTTCCCCCAGGAGTGGGGAGGGAATGGGGATTTTGCACTATCCTTCCCCTAGAGTGGAGTGGAAATGGAGATTTTGCAGTATCCTTCCCCTGCCATGCCCACCAAGCCATGCCCACCAAGCCACACCACGCCCATCAAGCCACACCCACAGAACTGATAGTAAAAAAATTTGAATTTCACCACTGAATTGGTCCCCCATCTTTACTAACTAGAAGCTGGGATTGGTGGGTGGGTGGGGAATAGAACCCAACATCTGGATTGCACAGCTTGCTCACCAATCCTCCATGATGTGCACAAATGTGCGAGACATGGAATATATTCTGAACAACACTTACTGGAAGCAGTCAGGGTATTCTGCAAGGGCCACGTCCATTACATCCAAAGCATGCTGATAGTCTTTTTGTGATGAAAAAAGGAGGGCCAACAAATGAAGAGAATTCATATCATCCTTACACAGTTTCAGTGCTTCTTGGAGATGTTCTATTGCATCACAAATCTGCAAAATAAATATTAAATGATTGCTCAGTTACTCATCCTTTCAGATCAGTTTCACTTGTTCTGGCCTTTTGACTACAACAAAATAAAAGGAGTCCCAAAGCTAAAATATCAACAAAGGGAGAACTATTAAAACCTAACTGCAAGGAGTAAACCAATTGAGCTCCCCAGCAGGAACATTAAAACATCTTTATACAATCCTAAAATTCTATAAAATAACACTTCAGGTAAGGTTGCTTGTATTTTAAATAGTAGCAGATGATAAGTATTTTCAAAGTTGTTAAACAAAAACAGGAAGGAAGGAAGTTATTACTCAACTGATCTCTTAATCTTATTATCTTTTTAATTTAACTATGTCTTGTATGCAACACTATAAAGAAAGGGTGACGTATTTTACATTTATTTATTCATTTATTAAAAAACTCCTCAGCATTCAACGAAATCTTTACTCACAAAGTATACAATTCATAGCAATGTAAATATCAGTGGTAAAAATTCTAACATAATTGATTAGAAAAATGAAAGTAAAAAAGAATAATAACAGTTCAATGCAATGCAATGTAAATCAAATATTTGCTTTCCAAATATTTCCAAAATTTGAAAGCCAACAGAAAAGGGACAAGTCCAATCTCCAAGGGGAAGCCATTTTAAAACAATGGTGTTGCCATATATCAGGTAGTCTTTTTTTTAACTTTAGAAGTCATGAAATATTGCTACCTTCTAATTATTTTGCTAAATGACAGGAACTCACCAACAATAGAGGCTTAAAAACAAACTCAGAGGGCTTCTAAACTCTTACCTTGAAATAAAGGAATTAACATAACAATTATTTTACTCTAGCTCATTTAATTTCAGAAGATGTAAACTTGATAATAATCACAAAATTGGCTGATGAAAATTTTAATCATGGTATATAATTTGTCAGACACATTAATATTATCAATTACCCCTTGTTTAACCAGAAAGAGAAAACATTAGATATTTTATTCAGAATATTAACATATATTTAAATGTTTATTATGAGCCGACAAAAGCAGAATATTTTAAATTGGCTAGCAGCCTCAAACTGTATTTCAAGCATGGTTTAAAGATTTACATGCAATTAAATGAAGAAAAATAGAATGAGCACAGAAAGTTCTGGCCAAATATCAATAGATTTTTAGAATATATTAAGGGGGTATCCTAAACTGCATTTGGAGCTTCCAGACTGTTCTCACCAATATTTAACCAACAATACATACAGTAACAATATAAGTTAGTAGAACAATAACTTTCAATCAACTTGAAAGTTTCAATCAACTTCAAAGCAAGAAGGCGGCAATTCCAAATTTAGTTCAAAGAATAACTCTCTAAGAAAATTTAAAGATCCCTTTAAAACAACCTTCTAAGCACACAACTTAATAAAATGGAAAGTAGAATAATTTTGAAAAAAAACCCAACAATATTCAATTCAGTTCCAAACCTACAGTAATTCTTGAAACCCTAGTCTGGGAGTGAACAGCATATGATCTTTCACCCAAGTGAACGTTCAAATCTCAAAAACCTTCAGTAGGAATGGCCAGTGGGTAAAGAATAGTAGAAAGTAAAGTCTAGCAACATCTGAAGATCACAAGTTGCCCACCCTCATCTAGAAGCTTCTCTACTCATTTTACGTCTTCCATAAACATGCATAAGAAGAGTTTCAATAAAGTTATAATTCAAGCATCAGAAAATTAACAAAATATATAAATAGAAATATGCAATAATGGACCTAAAAAGTATTGAAGCACTTTCTGACTGCTGATAAATCAATTCTATTAGAGATGTTTTTAAAAAACCATCCTGAAGAAAGACAAGTGTAAAAAAAAATCTATGCCCAAGAAAAAGAATTTGTTACTGTAGATGCCAGTACACCACAGAAATAGTTCTGTTTTTTCAAGCCACTTGTCTTTATACATACCTGCCTGATAAGAGCCAGCTGCAATGAGATATAGAGGATAATTTGGTGGTCTTCAGGTGCCAAGTGATGAGCTCTGTAAAACACAAATGTAACTTATGCAGTACTGCAAAAGTTATTTACCATAAATTTTACCGGAAAGGCAATTTCAAGGCTCATTTTCCTTTCTTGTAATTTTAAACTGGATTTAAATTAGTAGACTAGCATACAGAGTTCCCTATCACCCTCACTCCAGCACAGTAGTAGAACTGCAGTGAAAAGATCATTGGATAGAAAATAATTTTCAATTCCTCACATATTTTCCTTGCTATGATTCTAGTTCTAAAATATTGTTCCTATTTTAAACAGATGCTCAGCTCAAGCCCCCCCCCAATATATTAGTTCAATGCCAATTGGCAGCCAATTATAGTCAAGATTAAATCTTTGACATAGAAAGGCAATGCAGTTCAAAACTTCAAATGTCTTTAATGATATTGCTCTGAGCAATTTAGAATGGGTGTATTCTTACTGTGATACTCTTCTCCTGATACTAAAGAGAATGTCTTGGTTTTTAAAAAACCTGAAAAAGAGCCATTCTAATTTAACTGAATAAGAACTGATTACTACCAGGTTCATGTTTTTATTGCCTTCAATAACTGTGTAAAGCAACAAATGTCAACAGGTGCATTTTTTCCTACTCTAGAGCAGCATTAGCCAAACAAATGGCATCTGCAAAATTATCCTTTCCTTAAACAACTATTGATGGTAAAAAAGTAAAGGTTCCCCTCGCACATATGTGCTAGTCATTCCCGACTCTAGGGAACGGTGCTCATCTCCGTTTCAAAGCCGAAAAGCCAGCACTGCCCAAAGACGTCTCCATGGTCATGTGGCCGGCATGACTAAATGCCAAAGGCTCACGGAATGCTGTTACCTTCCCACCAAAGGTGGTCCCTATTTTTCTACTTCCATTGTTTACGTGCTTTCGAACTGCTAGGTTGGCAGAAGCTGGGACAAGTAACTGGAGCTCACCCCGTTACATGGCACTAGGGATTCAAACCGCTGACCTGCTGACCTTTTGATCGACAAGCTCAGCATCTTAGCCACTGAGCCACTGCGTCCCTTTAATGATGGTACAAAAAGCATATTTTCCTTCTGGTCAAGCCTAGGGAACCTTCTGTCCATGAGGCAGGTTTAACCTCACACCTCTCTGTTCTGTCAAGATTGTATAAATAACTTTCCTTCTTGGCTTAGGTTATTGGGCTTAATAGTATGCAGTTATTATGAAAAGCTATATTTTCCTTTGTTGTCTGTGTGTGTTTTTTCTTTTGGAGTTACAAATTATCCCTGTATTTTTCTTGTCTTAAAATCTTGAGAATACAGATAGTCCCCTAGAAAACAAGACTACTAGTTCAGATTTTAGAATCTCCAACAGATGGACACTATCTACAGATTATAGCAAATTGAATCTTATCCCATCAAAGCTCTTAGAAAAAAAAATCAGCTTCCTTTTAAAAAGGCAGATATTCAAAACATGTATGTACATACCCAGCATACCGAGCATTCCCATTTCTCTAACCTTGTAAACCTGGCCATTAGGGAGAAACCACAAATAAAAAGAACTCTTATCATATCTTAAATCCCGCTGTGGAATTAAGAAGAATGCAGATTCTATAACTGTTGAACAATTGGCAAGAACTTCTCCTTTAATTCCTCCACCAAATGGTTTTACTAGCAATATGGTACAATTGACTGAGTTTGAAGACTGACATGAAGGTAATCTGAGCCTCAGCCACTTAGTAGGGTTAGAGATGACCTAGCACCTCTATTGTCCCTGGAATAATGTAGCAGGTCAAGAGAATGTCTTTGCTATTCTAGTGTGTCCTTGATTAGAACAGCAAAACGCAGCTGCTGTTAGAAACACATTTATTTCCTTAAGTGATGTAAAACAATTGGTGTACTTATGCATAGTTTAAACCAATTGATAGCAGTTATCCGAGGTTTCACAGAAGACTATTTCCCCAATCAGATCTAAAGTTGCCCACTGAGGCTCTCTCTCCCATTCAAAACTGGGTTCAAGAAATGTCAGGTCAAATTCAGCTAGCTCTGTAGTTCAATTAGGCTAGCACTGGCTCACCCCCACTTCAAGCAGAAGTCTGTTAGCTAAGGATACAGGTATGGACCCAGGATGTCCTAGAACACAGAATATAGAACATAGAATAATAGAGCTGGAAGGAACTTCAGAGAGCTTCTACTCCAACTCCTGCTCGAGCAGGAGACCCTATATCATTTCAGAGAAATGGTTGTCCAGTCTCTTTTTGAGAGCCTCCAGTGATGGACCACCCACAACTTCTGAAAGCAAGGTTGATTACTCTCACCATTAGGAAATTTCTTCTTAGTTCTATAATAAGTTGCTTCTCTCCTTGGTTAGTTTCCAACCTTTGTGTCTTGTCTTACCTTGTTTTGTCTTTTTAATCTTGCCTTTAGATCTGCCTTTTGGTCCTTTGGAAAGTAGTTTGAACCGCTCATCTCTGTAGGAACCCCTCAAATATTGGAACAATGCTATCCTTCATGCTAACATGCATGTAGGACAACAGTGCTATATTATATACAAACAATACACTCTGCCATGATCTATAACCTCTCTAAATAATTGTTCTTGGATCCATTTTCCCAGTTTTGTTCTGTTTTATTAATTTGTTTGTTCCATGCAGGATTTAGCTCTAAGAAATTAGCTGTACCCAACTCTCAAAATAGCCTCATTTGACATACAGTACTGTATAACTCTGCCCCATTAAAATGAAAGCCATAGAACCAGGGGAGGACACTCAAAGGCCACCTTATGCAACCCTTTGACAATCCAGGAATCAACTGCTCTGGCAGACAGCCATCCTGACTCTAGTTAAAGGTTTTTCATATAGGAAAGTCCACCTTTTGAAACAGTTTATTACATTGCCAGTCTGCCTACACTGCTCAGCCATTCTGTCCAATGATTAGTCAAAATCCCCCCTTTTGTCATTTGAATTCATTTACTCAGATCCTGTTTTCTGAAACAATAGAAATCTGCCCCTTTAATTATGTGACCGAATTTCAAATATTTGAACATAGTTATCTCTTCCATCTTAATAGCTTTTTTCCCAGGCTAAATATGCTTCAGTCTTCCCTCTTCCCTCATTGTTTTTTTTTTTAATTTATTTTCTGTCTGGACATATTCCAGTTTGTTCACATTCTTTTAAAAAAATATGGTATCCAGTTTAATTAATAACAAAGAAATCTGCAACATGCCTGCACAACTGGTGTCCTATTAAGCTACAGGAGAGCCAACAAGCTATGCATCTGTAATCTGTTAGATTGACAGCTTCTTTTTTATACATGCTTAAGGATTTAAAAAAACCAGGAAGCTTCTGCATATATCCAAAAACCTCTTGTGGTTTGGATGATTCTACCTTTTGGGGATTATGGAAACTGAAGAATGGACTACTATTTTATAAGATCTTAAGTTTATAGTGCTCAAGAAATGCTCAAAAAATTATTTTCTTAAATGAATGTATTATGACATTTTAGTGAAATATCCATTATATGCACAATGGAAAAAAATTTAATATTGGGAGGGGGCCATCATCCAATGGTAGAATACAGACTTCCACAAAAAAGATCCCGGGTTCAATCTTTGGTTACTCAATTACTTTCTTTCTAACTTGCTTTAGTGTTAGATCACTGAAAAGCCCAATGAAGGGATGTCTTCTAGGTGGTTTAATTGAAGAGTAAGACCCTAGGGAGACTGTAGACTTCTGAAAAATTTATTGTACAAAATCAGGATACTTACATAATCCTTGACCGCTTCATAACTAAATAAATGCAGAAACACCACTCTCTACACAGAACATTCTGAAATTCTTTTTTTAAAAACAAATTTTAAGTAGCCTGGTTTAGCTCAACAGACAGAAGCACTGTAATTTAACACCAGCTGTCTGCAATTAAAATAAGATCGAATCTCGCCAGGCTCAAGGTTGACTCAGCCTTCCATCCTTTCTAAGATAGGTAAATTGAGGACCCAGTCTGTGGGGGCAATAAGCTGACTTTGTATAAATATACAAAAGTATGAAGGCTATTGCTTAACGCACTGTAAGCCGCCCTGAGTCTCCGGAGAAGGGCGGCATATAAATCAAATTAAAAAAAAAAAAAGTAGGCCTTCTATACTCACCTCTGTGAAATTATGCCAGTTTTGTATGGCCTTGACTTTTTTCAGAGCCACTATTCATTTCCAGCCAAAGTAATGTTTTTAATACTAACACACAATTCTGCATCTAATAAGGATATATGTGCCTCGTTGAAATTCAGAATGCAAGGAGCTACAGTAATTGAATTATCCAAACGCCCCCTGTTGGCTAAAAGTGGACATTGATACCATCCAAGATTCATCCATTTCTAAACTGAATTTAAGCTATTAAGGAAACAAGCCACAGTTTATGGGAAAAGGTCAAAAGGCTAAAAATAAATGCAGTTTAAGAGTAATATGGGACAGTAATTATATCTAAATAGTACAGTAATAGAGAAGTTACATCTGAGTCTAAGAATGTGTGCCGCTTAAAGCCACCTCACTCAGTTCCCTCCTCCTGCATCCTAAGAAGCTCAGAGACATGTAAAACTATGCTGGCCAGTTCTATAGGCAGAATTATGCCCTCTGGCTGCCAAAAAGATATTCTTTATAAATCCTAAAAATCAAGATTTGGGGGAAAAAATCCTTAAATTTTGGATGCATTTAGAACTGTAGTGTGACTTTCAGATTAAATTGCAAAAACAAGCACATTTCTGCCAACTGGGACGGGTTTCCTCCCCATCCTGGGGTGAAATTCAGCAAGTTCTGACAGGTTCTGGAGAACCAGAAATTTTGAGTAGTTCAAAGAACCGGCAAATACCACCTCTGGCTGGCCCCAGAGTGGGGTCGGAATGGAGATTTTGCAATATCTTTCCGCTGGAGTGGGGTGGGAATGGAGGTTTTGCAGTGTCCTTCCCCTGCCATGCCCACCAAGCCACACCACACCCACCAAGCCATGCTCACAGAACCTGTAGTAAAAAAAAAAATGAATTTCACCACTGTCCCCATTCCCCAGGTTCTTCTTACCTTTCTAAATTCTGAAGTGCTCTCTGATGCAAGTCATCTTGTGCGCTTTTCAGGGTAGCTGCAAAACAATAAAAATTAATACATCAAGGTAAGCATTATTCCAAACAGTACATCTGAGTAGCTGGGAGCTCTTTATTATTAAAAAGTTATATGAACAGTCTGATATGGGTCTTCAAACAGCATTTTCTTAAGAATGTTATGTCTTAAGACTTTTTCCTTCAAGAATCTTGCTGAAAAAAATATTTCTTGTTTTATTTTTAGTTATTTAGAAACTGATCTCTCCAATGGTACCAGATATCATTATACACTTTTTTAATTCTAAAGAACATCCAGGGAGTATCAGGAGAAAAATAAAATGTCAGGATTGAGTTAGGGAATATCTCCTTTCAATGTGACTCTTCTGCATTTAGGATCTTAAAAAGTCCCATCTACCATTTTTGATTATGGTTAATTTCAAAAATGTAGGTGGCTCCAAAATCAAGTCAACTTCATACCCCAAGAGAGGACTGTAATCTAGATCTCCCCAATCCTGGTAAAAGAATCGATCCACTAAATATGAATAACAGCACTTCTTCTCCGTCTTATCCCAACACCTAGGCACGTCTTTTTCAAATGGCCTTTCTCAAAGATACTGCACGTAAGACAAATACAGAGCACCTTCTCTTCTACAGCACCTTCTCTGTGAAATCACCTTCTGATGAATGCCACAATGATAGTCATGTGATAATAAACAGAAAACAAATCCAAAGTTTTTGTCTTTTTTTTTATGTGATTTATATGCCGCCCTTCTCCGGAGACTCAGGGCGGCTTACAATGCGTTAAGCAATAGCCTTCATACTTTTGTATATTTATACAAAGTCAGCTTATTGCCCCCACAAACTGTGTCCTCAATTTACCTACCTTAGAAAGGATGGAAGGCTGAGTCAACCTTAAGCCTGGTGAGATTCGAACTTACAATAATTGCAGACAGCTCGATGTTAATCACAATGCTATCAGTCTGCTGAGCCACCAGGCCGATTTTGACAAATCAGGAGATGATGGGGGGAATCATATTCTTTCTTTCCTAGTACTAGGGGCAGGTAGTTATTGGTATGGGTGGTTTTTATGATTTTTAGTGATTTCATTGTAACAAACTGACTGCGGGATCTTCTGGGTGATATTTTCCTCAAAGAATGTGGATAAATGACTCTTCTATTAAAATGTTCTAACAATTCTTTTGTAGTTCTGTTAGAATATTACTTTATTATTCCAAGTTTTTACGGCTTAATAAAGTGTTCAGTAGCTCTATATTTCCTAAATATATTGGGGTGCACTTAGTGCACTTAATTATTATTGCTTGAACTATGGCTTAACATAAGTTAGCTGGATAGGGAACTTGTATCCCTAAAACAGGGGTGTCAAACTCATGGTCCACAGGCCAGATGCATCATGCACTGGCCATTCCCACCCCTGTTTTAATGAAGGGGGGGGAGTTGCAATACATCATGTGACGACAACGTGTCATCATAAATTTGACACCCCTGCCCTAAAACATTTACCTCACTTTATCCAATGTGTCAACCATTTTCCTGAGACAGGTTTACAAAGATTAGGTTGAATCTAGCACTTCTGCATGATCATCTGTTCAAAGCTCTTGGAAAGCTGCCTGAAAATGAAAGCCAAGGGACTGCACCTGCTGTCCCCTTGATGTAGAAGACGTGTCAAGAGTCTGCTGCTTGAGAAAGAAGGGACAAAACTTTGCCAAAGGGTCAAAGAGTACAAATGTCCTCTAGGGATGACATAAACTCTTTTGGGATAGACTTTGGCTCCTGGCCAGAGTATAAATGAGCAATGACAGAGGTTGGTTGAATGGCATCTTTGCTCATTCTTCTGCTCTCCTGAAGCTCCAGCTAAATCAGCTCAAGTTTCACATGGTATCATCCCAACCTCTCCCACATAGGAAGCAAAAATAAACTAAGGAAGTTAGAACTGAAGCTGCAAGTGCAATTATGTCAGTGATATCAAGTAGAGCAAGAGGGAATTACAGATGTCTTTGTGTAGACAGTTGGGCAATGCAAGAGATAAAGAAGCAATCAAGAAGGAAGAAAAGAATAAAGCTGGATTGCAAATGTTTATTGGTTCCTTGTGTCAAATTGAATTTCAGTGGGTCATTTTTATAGATACTAGAGATTATCCATTATTTTGTTAAGTGTCTTTTTTTCCTCTGGCTTTATCTGTAACTTAATTTGCAGGAGTTAGGCAAAGGCTCTTTACTTACTTCTGTCTTCATACCACGATAAATTTCATCTACTATCTAAAATATTTCAACCCTTGAGATATTAAAGCACGGGAATTATGTCAATAAACACAAATATCTCTATATTTGTCTATCAACCAGGTCCAGAATGAAAGCAACATTAGCACTACAAAGTTGTGACTAAATACAGGTTGTCCTCGACTTACAACCACAATTGAGCCCAATATTTTTGTTGTTAAGTGAGACATTTGTTAAGTGAGTTTTGCCCCATTTAATGACCTTTCTTGCCACAGTTGTTAGGTGAATGACAGCAGTTGGTAAATTAGTAATCTGGTTGTTAAGTGAATCTGGATTCCCCATTGACTTTGCTTGTCAGAAGGTCGCAAAAGGGGATGACATGACCTTGGGAAACAGTAACGGTCATAAATATAAAACAGGTGCCAAGCATCTGAATTTTGATCACATGATCATGGGGATGTTGCAAATGTTGTAACCATGAAAAATGGTCTTAAGTCACTTTTTCAGTGCCATTGTAACTTTGAATAGTCACTAAATGAGCTGTTTTAACTATAGGATCACAATAGTAATAGCACTTAAACTTATATACCGCTTCATAGTGCTTTACAGCCCTCTCTAAGCGGTTTACAGAGACAGCATATTTCCCCCAACAATCTGGATCCTCATTTTACCGACCTCGGGAGGATGGAAGGCTGAGTCAACCTTGAGTCAGTGAGAACTGAACTGCCAAATTGGAGACAGCGGGCAGTCAGCAGAAGTAGCCTGCAGTACTGCACTCTAACCATTGCGCCACCGCGGCTTATTGTTTTTTCCCCTCTACTCCTCTTTCCCTATCGCTGGTAGAAAATAATGTGGCTACTGTTCATTTTGATTAAAAAGATTCAGAGATACTCCTTAATTCTGTTTCAAAATACAGGTTTTCTCTTTTGAGCGTGGCCCGAATGCACCTTATGGCTGTTATTGAAATAAGAACTCCTGGGCAGAAATAGGTCAAATAGCTCCTCACATCTTCTCAGTCATTTAATGTGTACATCACAAGGTAAATTTGCATTCCATCAGTTAAATTATCTTAGTTTTAGAGAGGGTAATAATAAAATAACAATAATAATCAAATCGAATTACATTCATGTTTTTCAACAAGCCTTATGCTATATCTTTCAAGCAGAGGTTTTTCGTTGCAATTTCACTTCACCCGTGTTTATTTCTGCACATGTATATATAAGAAGCTAAATCCTATTTTACTTCTCTGGCACTTGTAATCATAACACACATGTGATGAAAAACATACTTAAAGCATGGTCTATAAAATAATGAAAAGTACTCTATCAACGCAAGCTGGGATTTTCGGCTTAAGTTTATGTTGCACATGGCTCCATAGCTCTAGTGTGTGAAGTTTAAAATTGTGCACAATGTTCGCAGGTCGTCCCCCCCAAATAATCTTTTTGGCTTTTATTAGCATTACAGGATCTGATAGGCTTTAATATTAAAGGAATTATCATTCTGTATTATGTTTCCCAATTTGGTATCGTCAGGATGTTATTTGAGCTAAACTGGTAATTCAAGAATTGTAGGCCCAGTAAATACACCAAATCAAGGAAATAATAACTCCAGAGACGCAAACCACTGGTTTCAAAGAGTAAGCACAGGCGTTTTAATTAAATACTAAGAGCAGCTTCCTGATGGTACAAATAGTGGAACGTGCTATTTAGATAATAGTGGAACCTCCTGCACTACTAATTTTGAAGCATCTGGGTACCCATCATGGATTCAATAGAATCTGTTGCATTTGAAAAGTGATGGATTATATAATTGCTAATCTTTCCAATTCTATATCCTTCAATATAAGATTCTTGTGGGATCATTTGTACTATATAACAACAAAGTTGCCATAGTTATCTGTGAGTAATGTCTATGCAGATTCTTAATCATCAAGGTGCTTTCCAAAAGGCAACTGGATTCTGCTTTTTCTTGAAGACGTTTCATTTGTCATCCAAGAAGCTTCTTCAGAACTGAATGAGAAGCAAAACATCTTCAAGGAAAAAACAAAGAAAGTTTAGTTGCCTTTTGGAAAGAATATTTGGGACTGGCAAGTAATGATATCCCCTTTGTTCATGTGATTAGTGATGAGTTTTGGTGCTTGGTTACCAATGAGAAAAGATACTTTTAAAAATGCAGGTTATAATAAAAATAGATTCTTTGGGTTGCAAGATCATTTTCTGCTCACATAAGCCAGAAGCAGAGTTTTTTCTTCAATAGAGTTAAATCCAAATATTTTCCATGACTGGATGAATTTTAAACAATTCTTCCATTTCATTTTTCCAGCCTTCATTATCACAGTATGTGGCCTGTAAATTGAAATTGAAGTGCAGGAGATAGCAACAAGATAGCTGGAGGCATGATAAAAATTGGACTATGTTTAGCCTGGAAAAAAAATGACTGAGGGGGAAGATAAAGGCAGTTTTCAAATACTAGAAAAGCAGAAAAAATACTAGAAGAATATGAAAAGAAGGTGATGAATTTTCTCTCTGCTGGACTAAGGCCAGGATTATATCAAATATACTGGCATAAGAGGAGAAATTTCAGTTAAAGATTAAAGAAACTTCTTGTCGAAGTGATAGAACCAATTCACCAGAAAGATGACAGGACTTATTTGTTAAATTTAACAGGCTAAACAAGTCACATTTGGCAGCAAAGAATGGCACTTCAGTCCTGCTCTCCTGCTTCAAAGAGACAATCCATCTAAAGTCTGGATTGAGCAGTTATAAACGAGTTAATGAAATAAACAGATACATAAAATCAAATAACCTCAATGTCCACATCAGTTCTTTAATTCCATAAACAATGGAAGTTAAAACTGATCACCAGTGATTGTTTACAACAACAGATACAGAGGGAAAGTGTTTTGGAATACCGCATGTTGGACATAAGCTATGAATACTCACCTATGTTCAGGTGAAAGGAATTAGCTTCATCACTTATTTATGATCAGCAAGAGACATTTTGCTTTATTGTTTTTTATATTGGTTTAATAAGATTATGTCATGATAATAACTTTTGGTTGCTTTAGAAAGAGAAAGACATCATGGAAGATTGGCATCGCATCAATAAAACAAATAGATTTTGTGAGTAGATGTTGGCAACTTATTGCTGAACCAGGCAACTACCTGAATGTATGTACATGGTATTTCTTCCATTCAAATATTCTTAACATCTTTAATGTTTAAATGCTTAAACTGACTTCTTCGAACAATAGCGGTGCAGATCACATTTGACAAATCAAAAGATTACCATCAGTTGCTTGAAGGCTGTATGTCAGGCCTAATGCTAAGAAACCCTTTGCTAGGAATTCTCCAGCGTCTTCTCCCATGCCAACGACCATCTTGGCGAAACGTTCTCCTTCCTCCAGCTAAATTGATGAGAGAAAGGGAGAAACATTACAGGAAATGTCTTTTGCCACAGTTTAATAGAATATCTACCGTATTTTTGGAGTATAAGACGCACCTTTCCCCCCCCCTAAAAGGGGAGGAAAATTTAGGTGCGTCTTATACATCGAATGTAGCCCCACCCACCCACTGGCCCCTACCCTTTGGCCTCTGCTTCCCAGCACTTACCTCCTTGCAGCAAACAGCAAGAAAAAACAGCCCCTGTCAGCTTCAGCACAGCCTATTTAGCACAAGTTGATTGGATCACTTCCCGACTCTCAGCTGATTTGCTCTCAACTGTTTCTGCTGCTTGCTCCAAGGAGGTAAATTGCTGCAGCAGATTTTTTTTCCTTGTGCTAATCAAGCTATGCTGAAAACGAAAATGAAAGTAAAGCAGGCTGTTTGCTGCAATGAGGCAAAAATGCTCAGAGGCAGAAGCAGAGGCAGATTTCTTTTTCTTCTTTTCCTCACCAAAAATGGTAGGTGCGTCTTATAGTCAGGTGCATCTTATACTCCGAAAAATACGGTAATTCTTAGGAATGAATTCAAGATTAGCAAGCATCAGAACTCACTGCTACAAGATGGTGCTATGCTTCCAGTGAATTTGGAAGACCAGACTTCTAAATCTCAATGCATGACAAAAAGCTAGCTTTTCCCAACATGGTGCCAGCTGCAACACATCTGAATCCTGTCAGGTGAATGTGTATGATCATTAGTGAAAGGTTTAACACTAATGCTGGCTCTGGACTTTGGGAGTAGGAATCTGTCAAGTATGTCACTTCTACCACTGTTAAAACTGCTTATATTGCTCTGTGTTTCATGCATATGGCAGCCTGTTTCTTTGGCAGATGGAGAATCAGCCGGCAAAAGACAGATGCTGTTGCTTCCTATTTCTTCGTTTTCTCATCCTATCCACCTTTGGACCAAAAAATGTGAGGTGGAGGTTAAGAGAACAGCAATGGTGAACAGACAGGACTATACAATCTATTTTGACTATAGATGCATTACTGGAGCACAGATCTTGACTCATGCAAACCATACAGTCATAGAAACATAGAAGTTTATCGAATAGGAGACAAATAAAACCCTTGGAGAGGTAGAGAAATGAATAAAGGTAGAAGAAAGGTAGAAGAAAGGGGAAGAGCAAATGGGGCAGATTGTTATTTAGGATTTATTTATTTATTAGTTTGATTTATATGCCGCCCTTCTCCAGAGACTCAGGGCGGCTTACAATGCTTTTAAGCAATAGCCTTCATACTTTTGTATATACCTGCTTAGTAGGGCTTTTGGCGCCCCCTAAGCGGTGTTCTATTTTATACAAAGTCAGCTTATTGTCCCCACAAATCGGGTCCTCATTTTACCTACCTCGGAAGGATGGAAGGCTGAGTCAACCTTGAGCCTGGTGAGAATTGAACTCGCGGTAATTGCAGGCAGCTGGCAGCTAAATACTACTTTAACAGTAGTTTAGTCCACTGCACCACCAGGCTCTTACTGAACTTAGTCCATGGGCCACATAGTGTGACATTCAACCTCCTCATAACTTCCAGAGAGGCAACTATAAAAACCAAGCAATACAGCAGGCTGATGGTTTTAGGCTGATGGGTCACATTAAACCAATCAGCAGGATAATGAAGAAGAAGAGATGGAGGAGATTTATAGGTTGCCCAACTCCAGAATGAATCTGGGTGGCAGTTGAAACACAGAAAACAATAAAAATAAAATCTTACACATCCAGACAATTGCACCATCTACCCAAATTCTCACAACTGAAAAGGGCATTGCAAGCAGCCTACCACAAGGCCTGGGAGAACAGCCAAGTTTTTAAAGATTTCTGGAACACTATCTGGGTGGGAGCCAAATTAATCTTTGGGATGATGTGGGGGTAACATTCCAGTGGGCAGGTGCTGCAACAACTTCCTGAATCCCTCTTGATAGCATTATTAGGTTGAGGGAGCACACCGACTCTTCTTGATCTTACTGGACAGGCAAAAAGCATCGGGGTTAGGTGGTCCCTCAAACAACTGAGCCTTAATAATGATTAAAATGATGATTAACTTACAAGCAGAAAGGACAGACTCTTAAAAGAGCATATTTAGGGATCTTTCAAAATTACTGTTGACCTGGGCAATATGCAGATCTTGGCCTAATTTCAAATCCTATAGCAAGCATTACATAGAGACCACTGATTAAATCTAATATTTCATCAGTAGCCTAATGGAAGGGAAGGGGAAGAGACAGCGAAGAACAGAAAGTGGTATCTGAAACTAAAGAAGTGACAGAAATGGGAATGTGGGTGGCAGAAACAGAGAAAAGTATTGTCCACTCAAAAGTTTGACCTTTCTCATCACCAGCTTGCTGATTCCAAAGAATGCCCCTAATATACTGTAGTTTCAATAAGAGATGAAATTATGCAGATAGGAGGTATACTCAGATAACAGGTCTTTGGTATCAATTATTAACTGTGTCAATTGTGATAGCCTTATCAAAATATGGACCACCTCTAGATAGGAACAACAAGATATGGAAAACACTATCTCAGAATCTTTTGCAGCTTAGATTCAGTATGATAAATTCTAGCTGTAGGTGCCCAACTAGGTAGTGCAACCTATTAGGTTCTACTTCTTAGAGATTTTGATTAGTGACTCAGAGTTTTTTTAAATGGGGTTAACCTGAAACTAAACCAGGTCAGACACAAATATTTTAAAAGCTTATATCTCTCTGCAGACATGACTTCAATTGAAAAAAGCCATTTTCCCCTCTCAGTTAGCATCCTGCCAATTGCAGTATGAGAAATAATTATAATAATGGAGGATTACTAAGCATCTCTTTTTCAAAGAAACGGCTATAGTACTTTCAGATTTTTTAAGTAATAATAGGATATGTGCCCAAATAATAATGCTTGCTAATAAAAACTATCATAGGCTCCTAACCAAGCTTTTCCTTGACATTCTCTATGAGACAGAAGAGGAGAGCAATGATGTTGTGGGGGAAATTATTAGCAATAAGAAGATATGGTGGCCAGAGGTGGGATTCACATAATTTACCTATCGTTTCACCCAGCACCAAAAATGTGAGCGTGTGCCACCTCCACACATGCGCCTGGCCCAGGGGTGGGTTCTACTTACCTTTACTACCGGTTCGCATCATGCACATACACTCTTCTGCGCATGCGCAGATCACCTATGATGATGTCCGGGTCAGTGGGCGGAGCCTCCCACTGGTTTTACTACCAGTTCATGCGAACTGGTCCAAACCGGGGGCAACCCACCACTGGCCCGGCCTTCCGTGCATGTGCTTTGCTTGTGCGCATGCCTTCTGTGCATGTGCCCAGCCTCAAAAACATGCCTAAATAAGACAGCATAGAGCCGGGGCAGGTGGGCAGGCCCACCTGCAATTTCTGCTATTGGTTCACCCAAACTGCTCCGAACCGGCTGAATACCACCTCTGTGACCAAACATTCGTGAAACAGAGTTGGTTATTGCATGTGTTCCTAGAAGGATTGGAGGCAGAGCAGAACTGCTTCCATCACCATCAACAGTGGCATTAACGGAAGAAGATGACCAACAGACAGCATGATTTTTCAGAACACTAAGCTACAAAAGAACATTCTGGGACAAGAAGAAAGATTCTAAAAAGATCAGCTAACTCCAAAGATTCCTGAGCTATCAGAAATAACAAGGAATAACAAGGCTTCCAACTCTCTCCTGGGTTGAAGGTTGTGCACAGAAACACACTCAGCAAGATTTGCCAACAAACTATGTTCAGCCATTGTAAACTATAATAATCTGTGTTTCCCACTGCCATCATCTTTGGTGAAAACCTCATTTTGTTAGTAGCCTACTGCTTGAGAACTATTTTTCCTGGGACAGAGGGAGGCTTTTTCCAGCTAACCATATTATTTTATTGCAGGTTTTTGAATGTATGATTGAACTAAGCCTACAGGCACACTGACAAGGAATAGGAACAGCAGGTGTTGTCCCCTGGCAAGAGGCTGCCCAGCTGGTGTTCAGCTGGCACATCTTGGCATGTTGTTTCTTTCTGTTGTGTTTTCCCACCCACCCCCTTTCCTTTAGGAGAACAAGGCCATGCATTTTAAACTATACTCCTTAAATCTAAAAGTAACAAGCAAACAGTATTCACATATTCAAGAGTTTTCACCAATAGTAATTTAATATTGCAAGGAAAGATTAGATGATAGTCAGGAACATTAGCATGGTATCTTTTTTTTTAAGGACATGAATTATTCTTAAAATTAGATAAATCAAGTGGGAGATTTTAAAAAGGAGGTAAAAAGTGAAAACAATTCTGTTCACTGTATAATTCTAGAGGTTTAGGAATAGAAAACCAAAGATGTTTTAATCTCATCCACTCCCACAGTCTCTGCCATGCCAAGAGACTCGTAAAGAATAGTTTATATATTATATAGCAGCAAATCCCAAATCCATCACAGGTTTCTTTTAAAGCATCTGCTTGCCTATTCTTGATATTTTTGGATGTACACTTTAAAAAACTCTTCAGTAGATACCTTAAAATGTAATGCTTTATGTAATTTTAATTTTAATTCCAAAAAATATTGGAAGTTTGTCCACGGAAGTCCCACCATAAAAACAAGCTTTTTAAGCAGAGGTGAAATGCTCCCGGTTCGGACCGGATCGCCCGATCCGATAGCAATGGAGGTGGGTGGTTTGGAGAACTGGTAGAAAAAATCCCTGCCCCCCCCCCATGCCCAGCTGAGCCACACAATCATCAGGGCTTTTTTTTTTTTACTTTTAAAAGCATTTTTTCTACAACCGCCTTGGCCGAAAAAATGCTTTTAAAACTAAAAAAAAAAGCCTCTGATGATCGCACAGCTCAGCCTGGATCATCAAAGGCTTTTAAAAGAAAAAACCCTTTTTTTCTTTTAAATGCCTCTGACAATCCAAGCTGAGTTGCCTGATAGTCAGAGACTTTTTTTCTTTTAAATGCCTCTGACAATCCAAGCTGAGTTGCCTGATCGTCAGAGACTTTTTTTCTTTTAAATGCCTCTGACAATCCAAGCTGAGTTGCCTGATCATCAGAGGCATTTATAAGAAAAAACCCTTTTTTCTTTTAAATGCCTCTGACGATCCAAGCTGAGTTTCCTGATCGTCAGAGGCATTTAAAAGAAAAAAAGCCTCTGCCGATCAGGCAACTCAGTTGGGATTGTCAGAGCCTTTTGAAAGCATTTTTTACAACCTCTTCGCCGAAGATTTGACGGAAGAATTTATTATTAGCAAAGGTACAAGACAGGGTTGTCCCCATCCCCCTTATTATTTATTCTATCAATGGAGATTCTCAAACATCCAGCTCATGGTTGTCCCAAAGGTGCTTTTTTCAAAAGACAACTGGACCTTTTCAGGTTTTTTCCTTGAAACATTTCACTTCTCATTCAAGAAGCTTCCCCAGTTCAACACTTTTCTTATATGAAAAGCGAAACATTTTCAAACAAAAATCCAAGAAAGTCCAGTTGTCTTTTGGAAAAAGCACCTTTGGGATTTCACGGGATACTTTCTGAATTGGCTTATCTGTTCTTGTCATTTGTTGTGGGTGGATTTAATATGAAATCTGTGGTAAGCCATGGTCAGGGCCCAATTTTAGGTGGAAAGCACAATATAAATGATTTTCCAGGAAAAAAAAATGCCTTGGGGATTCCATTAGACTAATGATGACAAAAGAGCACTTATCCAAACAAGATATGTAATTAGAGTATAGATCCCATTTATTATCTACAAGTACAATGGATATAACTAAACTTGGACATCACTAATAGTATAAGTTCTACAAGTTTAGAGCTAAACCCTGTAGTATCCAATAGAGCAAGTCGTCAAATACTCACAGAACCATATCCTAAACCCCCCTTCTATAAATTTCTCCTGTTGTACACATGTGTTTACTTAGTGACAGCTGCATTAATCAAGTTACCAGTGCAATCAAATAAATAATTCATTCACCACATTATTAAATGTAGATTTTTAAAGAACCTGGGAGCTTTATGTTTAGTGACATTTCTGAAAAGAATATGCTCAGATCAACTGATGGGAAATGACCAAACAGTATCTCAGGAACTCTGTGGCGTTCTGATTGCTTGAATGGGCTAACTTTGTGAAGAAAGGAGAAAAGAACGGTAGCATTACATGGAATAGAATAAGTTAGACTGGAAGTAATCTCCAATTCAAAATTTAGAGCTACTACCTCACTGTTCTAACAGTTTTTAGTTGGAGACTAGATATGTTTGCATTAAGAGTGAATTTTCCCACCTTGCCACTTCAAATCCAACATTATAAACTGTAGTAAATAGCTATTATTCTTGGAATAAACCATTTCTCTATGCTGATCAATCAACAGAACGTGAAGTCTTATTAAGTGCCCTCAAGGTTTGCCACCTGCATAACTTATACTGTAATATTTTATTTCAATCTGTTAATTATATACTCAATGAATTAAAAGGAGGAACTAATCAACCTCAAGTGTTTAATAATCGTCTATTTTCCTTCTCGGCAGGCTATTCTTCTGATTTCATTTAATATTTCCAACAAGTTTTTATTGCTCCTCCTGTTGGAGCAGATGGGTGAGGTTGCAGCCTTTTGGTAACAGCAAGCCTTCACAAGCAACAATTTCTCCCACTTGGTCTCTTATTATGACTAGCGCTACATATTAATGAAATTGAAATGCACAGAAATAATAACATCACCAGTAACTTGAACTTGTCTTCACAACAAGAAGGTCCATCAAAAAAATGAGCCATCTGTAATTAATATTGATAGACTATCTTTTTTCTGTTTTCCACTTTCAATACTCTAAGTTAACTAAATGCTAGAAGGTCAATAGTTTTAAACTATGTTATATAAACATCACTTATTGAAATTTTTCAAAAGAGCCATCTGCTGGTAGGAATAAAACCAGTTTTCTCCAGACAGCAGTCATATCTGTACTATACTGTATTTAATTGAGAAAAAAAATCCCATTGCATTCTATGTTATTTCTTTCTAAGTCAACATGCATGGACCGAACAATACTGGCCTAGTAATTAAGAGATAATTCATTATTGCATTAGGGAAATCAGTTTGAAGAAGCAATTTAGACTCTGGTTTATGGGAAGTCTTTGGTTAACCTCTTTATTTTAACCTCTCCCCCTACAAAATAACAGAGAAGCACATGTCAGAGACTCCCTTCAGTAAGTCAGGTCAGTTCCACATAACTGTGCAGCTGTTCTTGGTTTACCCCTTCATCTTCCTTCTGTCTCTTCCTCTCTTTAAACCACATTTGAGTGCGGCTGTTAATGCGGCACCTAATGCATTATGTAAGAAGCACTGCACCAGCTTGCTTACCCAGTGCAGAGGCCCAATGCAGACCTTGGCGGCCAGGAGAGGGACGGTGGGATCCGCAGGACGTAGCTTTGCACATTCTCTGAGCACCGAGACAGCATGAGCAGACTGGACAAGGGAGGAAGGAGAAACAAGAGGGAAACGATAAGATGGTTAGACAATGCTCAATGCGATGCACAAAGATTATTTATGCCAAATGCTTCTTCTTCCAGAGGACGTGTTTCTTGTTACCTCAATATTGAGACTTAGATTGGCTCTCAAAGCACATCTCTTGTTTTTGAAGTTTTCTTGCCTCCTGACTCCCACAGATCAGTGGGTGTTCAGATCAGGTATGGTTTTTGAAAAGCATGAAGCGAATATCTGCATCTATTCAGTGGTAACTCTGTATTATATTATTAGGTCTGTTTTACAGCAGGCCCCTAACAAAGGAAGAGCTTCAGTTGTATGGAAAAGCATTGGCAATAGGTAAGATTTCTGCAATATTGGTTTATGTACAAATGTAAATATAGGTAGTCCTCGATTTACAACAGTTCCCTTAGTGACCATTCGAAGTTACAACAGCACTGGAAAACGTGACTTATGACCGGTTTTCACACTTATGACCATTGCAGCATCCCCATGGTCATGTGATTTAGATTTGGATGCTTGACAACTGACTCACATTTATGGCGGTTGCAGGGTCCCGGGGTCATGTGATCACCTTTAGCAACCTTCTGTTAAGCAAAGTCAATAAGGAAACCAGATTCACTTAACAACCATGTTACTAATTTAATAACTGCAGTGATTCAGTTAAAAACGTGACAAGAAAAGTCATAAAATGGGGCCAAATTCACTTAACAAATTTCTCACTTAGCAACATAAATTTTGGGCTTAATTGTGATCGTAAATTGAGGACTTGCTCTATTGAGAGTGAAACAACAGATAGGTATCCTAACAAGTTATAACCCGGAGCTAAAAAATAAAGCGGTATTTGTGTCCTAGACTAGTGTTTCTCAGCCTCGGTATCTTCCCAGAATTCCTCATCCAACATGCTGCCTGGGGAATTCTGAGAGTTAAAGTCCACACATCTTGAAGTTGCCAAGGTTGAGAAACACTGTCCTGGACCCTCAAGACACTATGATAAACACTCAAGAAAGAGAAACGTGATCTACAGCAGTGCCCACAATGTGTGGTTAATAAGTCAAGATGGTGACTATGATGATGAAGTCAAAGCTCCACCTGGTGTTTTTTTTTTATGTGAATTGTGATGAGAAGATAAGATAAGAAACAGTTTAAGGTTTAATTGCACCATCGCAGCATTGCAATATAAGCTTATTTAATCATACCCTGAGGATATCCCAGTGGTCTACTTACACATCCTCCAAGAAATGTACAATATCTACACAACACATAAACACACCCACACAGTTCCCTTTTCAAGCTAGGTACAATATTCAGACCAGTTCCTCTCTTGCTGGATGCAACACAAGTCTGCCAAATATATATTTTTTCTAAAGGAGGAAGTCCACTTTCATTTGTAGCCATTAATTTATAGTATTGATTTCTCAATACTAGAGATGAGAGGATGGAGTCATAAGTGAAAAGCAGCAAGTAAAGGAACCAGACAATCTTTAAAACTCTTGACAGTGAAGCACAAGAAAGATGTCACTGTGAACTTTATGGCAAAAGATTACTTGGCACAAAGGACCACATACGAAATAGTATCCTATCTTACCTAGTTAAAAAAAAAAAAAAAAAGCAGACTCTTGGAGATTTATACTGTATATCAGTGAATATCAAAAATTTGTACTATGTACCAGTAAATGTCATAAACAAACCCCTTGGAGCTTATCAGTATGTCATAACAAACACTATTGATTCTAAACAAGCAAAATTACTGCTATTATAATGCATGTTTATTTTTTTGTTAGCCACTCGGCTAAACAAGAAAATAAGGATTAAAAGCAGAAATATAACAATGTATGAAACAGATACAGGGGACCATGTCAAGGAACAAAATTAGCATTTAAAAAGCAATCTCCACAGAGGTTATGAATCACTCTTTCCCAGCTCCTGCCAGAAAAGCTAAAGTCATTAGGGTAAAGGCTGTATGGATTGAAGGGCTGCTATTCCAAAGGATAGGGGCACTTACAAAAAATATATGTTTCTTGGATCCTACAAAACAGTATCGCTTCATAGTTGGGATCTGGTCCATAGTAATCCTGCTGGATCTTACTGACTGGCCATAAACCACTAGAGAAAGGCAGTCCCATAGCTAGTCAGATCCCCAGCCATACATTGCTTTATAGATGAATACTAGCACCTTGAACTACACTTGGAATGAAATGGTAACCATTGCAACTCATGAAGTAGAAGTATCGCATGGGTAAACTAAGATATGTCCAAAACTACTCATATTACTGCATTTTGGATGACGTGCAAACTGGTCTAGAATAGTATAGTACATTGCAATAATTCAAATAATGGCTAAGTCATGAGTAACCATGAGAAAGGCCTCCCAATGTATTTGTGCAAATGTCATCCTGGCCACATCTCTAGTTGCTCTTCAAACAATTGCTGAAAATCCAGAACTCTCACTGACAACAGGATTCTTTCTAGTCATTCTTGCTAGTGTTGAGCCCAAGTCTGTTCCTCCCATCCAGACCAAAAGAGCCTCCAGGCACAGGGACAGGGCCTTGACAGTTTCACCTCTTCAACCTGGTTCTGAGATATACAGTTGTGTATCATCTGCATACTGATGATACTTGAATAAGTGCTATCAAATAGTCTTGTCTACCAATCTTACATACTGTAGATATTAAATAAAATTGGGGAGAATGTTAAGCAACAAGAAACCCACAAAGCAAGGGCCCTTGGGCTCAAGGTCTCCTCTCCAGCACCAACTAAAACCAATCCTGATGGAAGAGAACCAGTATCCCCCAACTCCCAGAGTTTACTCAAAAGGATAGCATGATCAATGGCATTAAAAGCTGCTAAGTTATCAAGTATGACCAGAGGAATCATACCACATCTACTTTGGCCCTAGCAAAGGTCAAGTACAATTAATGTTGCTTTGACATTGTACTCAGGCCTGAATTCTAATTGAAAAGGAGAGGTTGGAAACTGCTCAAAACATATCTAGTACTGCTGGGTAAAGCAATGCCTTCTTGAGGTATTGTGCTGCTTCTAACAAAGCAAGGTAAACTACCTCGATTTTCACATGAGGGAAGAGTTTACCATCATGCAAACCCAAGTGCTACCTCCAGATGATGACCCTAACAATTTTGAGGAGTTTCTCAAAACTCACAAACTTTACAAGTAATCAAGCAAGACTCTACTGTGGCCAACTCAATAGGATCTATTCAGCTGAAGTCCAGCTCAGAGTAGCTCTTAGTGATTTTGTTCATCAGATCTGTAGGATATTTTTCACAGTGGTCCTTAAGATGTTTTTCCTCCTCTAAAAGGGTCCAGGCAATGCTATGTTGTCTCTATACAGGAGAGGAATTAATAAATTATGTGCCATGTGGTACTTCTTAGTCTTGAATAGGTTGAAATGTTTCATGTTATCCAGTTATGAATGCCATCTGCTTGCCTAGGTTGCTTTCCAAGCTTCAAGTTCAAACGTTCACAATTCACATCCCCAAGAAGGAGAACAGCCCCTTATTTGTGCCCTAGAGTTTGTAAGCATCTGGAGAGTTGGGATCCGCATATAAACAGACCAATAACTGCATTTAAATACCCAGTCATTTAATTTACTTAACATACTTAATGGTTCTCAAATGAGCACTGAGATTTACCTGGAATTTCTGACTAAATCCCTATAGTATATCTACTGTAAGCATAAACCAAAATGTTATATCTATATTATGTCAAAAGATTGCAAATGCTTGCAGATTTTAACTTTTTAAATTGGCTCGCAAGAATATTAAAGTATATAACTATAAATGGTACATTTACAGATACAAACATATCCAGGACAAACTACCGGAATGCATAGGTTTCCCTCTATAACACTGGACTTAGTCTTGTGGGTCTATCCCCCTTGGTTGGGTTAATGTGCTGTCTAAATTCTGCTTTGAGTATTTATAAATTCTGTTCTGATTTGCTGCCAGATGGTGGTGTCCTGATTTAGAATATGCCTTCTTAGAATATGATAAGCAAAGTTACTAGTTAAACCCGTAAGCATTGCTATCTTCCCACTTTCTTAACAGTCCCAGCAGTAGGAAACCATCTACCAGTCCTGACATTACCCTGCATTATTAATAGTTTTCTGTCTTGCTTTTTTAAGGTCCACAAAAAAGCAAGATAGAAATAAAATTGACTTGCTTGAGCTCTGGTGTTGGGGAAGGCTGGTGTGGTGTATTCCTTGGATAGCAAAGATGACTAACAAACATAACATCAGACATGTCCCTAGAAGACAAAATCACGAAACTGTGTCTCACTTACTTTGGCCCTATCATGAGGGGGAATTCACTGGAGAAAGCAATTATGTTTGGAAGAGTTAGCGGTAAAAGGGAACCAGGCCATGACGGTGGCTGTACACCAACAAAGCGGACACCAGCCAAAGCACAGAAAAAGTCAAAGACGTAGTGCAAGATCAGAAGATGTGGAGAGTCCTGGCCCATAGAATCAGGAAGAGTCAAACTTAACTGAATGGATCACATCATCATGAATGGTTTTAACAAGAGGTTGAGACCACAGTATAGCCATCTTCAAAATGCTTACCTATCTTCAAAGCTGATTCCCCATGTTGGGACTAAATGGTAAAGCCATACCCCATCCCAGGAACTGGGTTTGTAGCTAAGGAATGGGTGGAAGCTGCACTGTGAAACAGGTGAAGCTGCTTCACAGTATCATTTTTTCCTACCACATGGATTAGCTGTCTCATGCTCAGAGGAAGCACTTGACAGCTGATGCATACGGTGGATGGGAGATGCCTGTTAAATCAGTCTTTACTGGACAACCCTCCAGTACATTATATACCAGCTTGTTTTGAAACCCTTTGCTGTGCATCTCTTTCAAAGCAGCCAGTGCATGTCCTGTCTGCTCACTCTCCAGAAAGGAAGAAAGTGTGGGGTTCAAGGCAGTCCCAGGTAACCAACTGACAGAGGATTCATCTTGCTCTCTCT